AGTTAGGGCCTTGCTCTGGATTGCGCTTTGGCTTAAGGGAATGTTGTGGTTGGTGTGATCTTCTATCCAGACCACTAAAACTTTCTCTGTATCAGCAATAAGGCTGTTTTGCTTTCTTAATCGTTTGTGTGTTCACTAGAATAGCACTTTTAATTTCCTTCAAGAACCTTTCCTCTGCATTCACAACTTTGCTCACTGGTACAAGAGGCCTCACTTTTGGCCTATCGCAGCTTTTGACGTGCCTTCCTCACTAAGCTTAATCATTTCTAGTTTTTGACTTAAAGTGAGAGACACGCGACTCTTTCTTTCACTTGAACACTTAGAGGCCATTGTTGGGTGACTAATTGGCTTAATTGCAATATTGTTGTGTCTCAGGAAGGCCTCAGGAGCGGGAGAGAGACGGGAATGGCCAGTCAATGGAGCAGTCAGAACATACAATATTTATCAATTAAGTTCGCTGTCTTACATGGGTGTGCTTCGTGGCACCCCAAAACAATTACAATAGTAACATCAGAGATCACTGATGACAGATCACCATAACAAATATAATAATAATGAAAAAGTTAGGACTATTGCAAGAGTTACCAAAATATGACATAGAGACACGAAGTGAGCAAATGCTGTTGGAAAAATGGTGCTGACTTGCTCGACACAGGGTTGCCACAAACCTTCAATTTGTAAAAAACGCAGTATCTGTGAAGCACAGTAAAGCAACGTATGCCAGTGATTGCATTGTACTCATATAGGTTGTTTTTTTGTGTGTGTGTGTGAGGCAGACTGGCTCTGTGCCCATCTTCCTTTATTTTGTATATGGGACATGGCCATAGCATGGCCTGATGAGCAGTGTGCAGGTCCATGCCTGGGATCTGACCCCCGTACCCCGGGCAGCTGAAGCAGAATGCACGAACTTAACCACTATGCCACCTGACTGGCCCCTCATATAGTTTGTTTTTTATGTTTCTAGTACTTTGAATTTTGTTGGAGGTAGTTTTGTGTGTTGGCGTGTTATCAAAATTTGGAGGTTCAGTGTGTGTTTGAAAATTATATTCTCCAATCTTCGGTGGAGTGTTATATGTATGCTACTGAGAGATATTGATTTTTTTTTTTTTTATCTGCTTGAGCTATCAATTACTGAGAGAGTTATAGTAAAATCTCCCTCTATGAAGGTGAGTTTGTTTCTTCTTTTATGTCTGTCAATTTAGCTTTACATATTTTGAGGTTATGTTATTGGGTATTTACATGTTTAGAATCATTTTGTCCTGGTTATTTCAACTGTTTTTTTTAAATCATTATGTATGGCTCCATTTTATCTGTACTCTACTAATGCTTTTCCTCCTAATATCTCTTTTATCTAATATCAATATGGCTAACTTAGTTTTTTGGGGGGAGAAGAGGGGAAGGTTAATATTAGCCTCTATTTTCTTTTTCTGAAATTTTATGTAAATTCAGGTAAGAACCTACTTAAACAGAAGGAAAAAACTGCACAGAATTTTAGAAAAGATCAACAAATTGGAATATCGTGTATTTGGAAAAATTGTTGTAAAATATGCAAACTTCTAGCAATACTGGTAAGGACAAACAATGAAAATAGACCCCAATATACAATATTAGCAACTAAAAAGGGATCAAACCTACCCATATAGTAGAGTTTTAAAAACAAAAGAATATTATAGGTCACCTTATTCCAATAAATTTGAAATTTTTAATGCAATGTATAAATTCATAGAAAAATATAATCAACACAGTTGTCACAGGTAGAAATAGAAAACATGAAAATGACAATAATATGAAAGAAATTAGTGATCAAAAATCCAACTGAAAAGACATGTGTTAGATGTTTTCACTAGCAAGTTTTACCAGCCCTTATAGTCATAGTCTTCTCTATCGTCTTCTAAAAGTTTTGTGGCTTTGTTTTTCACATTGAGATCCTTTAACAACCCGGAGTGATTTTGTTTTAGAGCATAGAAAGGGAGGGAAAGCTGCTCAACACATTTAGTGATGTTGGTTTATCATTGGTACTAAACCCGATGAAGATAGTATAGAAAAAAGATAATCGTAGACCAACGTTATACATGAATACAGATGTAAAATTTCTAAATAAAATCAAAGCAAAGCAGTTTCATCTGTGTATTAAGAAAATACATCATAACCAAATAAAGCTTATCTCAAGGTATACAAAGATGGTTCAACTTTTAAAATCTTCTTAATGTGCTGTGTTATGAGAATGAAAAAGAAAAACTAAATCTTCTCCACAGAGGTGGTAGTCAATTAACGGTCTTACCAGCTATGTATGAGAATACCTGTTATTTACACTCCTGGAAACACTTGCTGGTTTCAGCTTTTATATTTTGGGCTCATTTGGTTGGTAAATAATAGAATATTTCTAGTAAGTTTATTTGCATTTCTCTGGTTTCTTGTAATGTGAGCATTGTTTTCTGTTTATTAGCCATTTGTATTCAACGACACTGAAAGTTTTAAACAGGAGAATAACACTTCTTGCATAATTTGTGTACTTGGGAACAGGGACTATTTCATTGGTCTTTGTACCTCTAGCATGTTGTAAAATGCTTGGCTTACAGTGGGTATTCAAAGATAGTTCTTCAGTGAATTGAATAAACGATTAGTAAACTATGAGCCTTCTGAAGAAATTTGTGACTTAACTCATTTTTGAATGCCTAAAAATAGAATAGTTTCGCAATGTCAAAGAAATGGGGTTTTTACTAGCAGGTTCTGGGGAGTAAAGAATAGACAAGGTTATTCTTTTAATTTATGTTAATGACACAAGCTTCCATGAAACTTGAATAACTGACAAAATCTTTAATCCTAATTATGCATGATTTTACAGTACTCATTTGCTTGGTGCTTTCAAGAGTGTAAGCTACTGCATGGAAAGATATTATTTATTTTTTGACATACCGTCATCCTTTGTACCTTTGCAAAAAGATAGTTTTAACGACCATTTGCTTACCTGAATTGTATTTCAATTACTCTAGTTTTAAAAAATAGTTTCTTTTACTGTTTTGCAACAGTATTTCAGAGGATTGAAGTATCTAGATATGTAGGATGTTAACTAGAAGAAAGTATTCATAGAGTTATTCTTTAAGACCTGAACTGGATTACAAGTTACTGAATTGTCTGTGATGAATGCTGTTTTTGTATCAGTAGTGAGACAGTAGTGAGACAGTAATGAGACAAAGATATAGTACCTAAACTTTATTTGGGTGTCAGGTTATGTATTTGGAAGCCTTGAGAGAGGGGGGAATGTAAAGTGAAGTAGAAGATATACTTAACTGCTAAATGTCATGTTGTAGGCTATTGTGTGATGTTTTCCAGCTCTAGCTGGCACCTAGACCAGTACTGTTCTCACACTGGCTGACTCCGCATCTTTATTTTTAATTCTTATATGCTATACCTACGCTTCTTAACCAAGTATTTCTGATATGCTGGTATAGAAGCTGGGAAAGGGAGGGACGCTAGTCTCAGATTGCTGCACTGTTCCATGTGGTTCCCTTATATCCCCCCATACCTTTGTAAATAGTCCATATGTAAATAAACTTTCCTCAAATTAGGATAATTTATTTTCTGTCAGCACCCTGACTGAGGCACAGTGGCCTCAGTCTCACAATTTGTCTGGTCCAATTTGTGCAAAACCAAGATGCTTTGGTCATTTTATCAAAGTGTTCACTTCCGTGGCTGCCATGGTTGTACGTCTTCTCTCTTTCCCACTATGAGATACTTCATACTTGCATTCAGATTTGATCCCTTTCTTTGATTTTCTTCTCTGTTGTGTGAATTCCAAAAAGAATATTATTTCCTTTCCTTAACAATCTAAAACAGCAGTGCAGAAATCTATAGTAGACTGGGCTGTGCGACGTGGAATATCCCTCTTTTCTAAACTAGTTAGGGCTAAATCACCTTCATACCAAGGCAGGTTGTAAGGTCTGCTGTGTCTGTTTTACTCTCCTAATGCTTAAATACGTATCTTTGATCTTGTCACACTCTGGCTCCATGGAAGGAAGGAGAAGAGAGCCGTACCTATATATAATGACCTTTTAGTCATATTAACTGCTTTTTGCGTGAGAATAAAGAGGGACATGAAAGGAGGAAAGGAGACAGGTCTAAATTTCTCTTAGAGGCAGCAGAACATATAATTGATTTTATAATTTTTTAAAAATATCAATTTATCTCTTGTAATTAATAGGATAATGTCTGAATTCCTCGCATGGCATTCAATGTCTACACTGCAAACCCAGGCAAAGTAGCAAAATTCTACTTAGTTCTCAAGGTCCAGTTCCTGCGTTACTTCCTCTGTAAAGCATTAGTGTTCACTTAAGAGACTTAGTGTTGCCTTTTCACCCATCCTGAAGCACTTTATATTGACCTCTATTAGAAACTTTGTCACGTTGTTACATTGTGTGTGTGTTCATACTGTTTGTCTCCCTAAAGACTGAGAACTTCTTGAAGGAAGGCACCATCTTGTAATCATGTTTCAAACTCCAATGATTGCCACCATGCTGTGTACAGTGTAGACTCTTGCTAAAGGCTTGTTAAAAGGATAAATAAATGAATCAGTGTGAAAGAAATATTAATTTGCTTGGGGGAATTGCAGAAGCTCTCTCTGGTGCTATGAAATTTGCTTTTACTTCTTGGACCTTTGTGTTAAAATATATATCTAGCACTTAAAGTATACAGAGTGTTTAACATGAGAATAAACTGGTTCCATTTATAATTTTGCATTAGTTCGTATGTTATTTGGTGTTTAAAAATGTTTCTTCACCAAAAATGTAGTTCATATATTAGAAATAAAGGAAATATCTTACTTTCTTTTGGGAATTAAATCTATTTCTTCTCAATATAGTTTGATGACATTATTAAATATTTTGGCTTAATTCTTAGTCATAATTTGAATTTTTATTGTTTAAGTAAGAAAAACCTTTATTTATATCTAATTTCTATCACATTTCATTAAGAAAGTAATTGATGTTGTTCTTTTGTTTCAGCTAAACCATTTACTTCTAAAGTGAAACAGATGCGATTACATAGAGAAGACTTTGAAATATTAAAGGTGATTGGTCGAGGAGCTTTTGGAGAGGTAAGAGATAAAGATTTTATAGAAGGTCTGCTAATTGTTTTATACAGTCCGTGGGAGAATTTAACTGAAATATTTACTTGCTGTTGTAATTGATATGATTGATCAGAAAATATAGTAAAGTTTTGAATGAAATATTGCTACATGGAATTTTTTTCCAAAGTATGTCAATGTCAGTTTGAGTATGTTTCTGGACTCTTTTCTGTTCCATTGGTCTATTGGTCTCTCTTTGTGCCAACACCACACTGTCTTAAATCACATTAAGAAGTCTTGATATCTGCTAGTGCATGTACTCCAACTTCCTCCCTCTCCTCTGTTCTTGGCCCTTTGTATTTTCGTGTAATTTTAGAATCAGTGTCTCAATTTCTACTTACTCTTAGAAACCCACACTCACACATCTGCTGAAATTTTGATTAGGATTGCACTGAAACTAGAGATCAACTTGTAGATAATTGACATCCTAACAATATTGAGTCAGTCAATCCATGAACGTGGTATGTTCTTCCATTTATTTAGGGCTTTATAAATTTATGTCACTAATGTTTTGGTAGTTTTCATTCAATAGAGAGGACTTCTACATCTTTCAGCAGATTTATTCCTGGTATGTAATATTCTTTATGTTATTTTAATTAGAATAACATAATAATTAGAGTAACAGAGAGAATTGCTGTTTCATATTTTCATTATTGTTTTGCTCAACATACATTCCAATGTGATTTTAAATTTCCATTGTGATTTTTGATCTATGAGTTTAGAAGTTTATTGCTCAATTTCTAAATATTTGGAGAGTTTTTAAGTTATATTTCTGTTATTGAGTTATCATGTAATTTCAGAGCAGTCAGAGTATACACTGTGATTTCACTCCTTTGAAATGTGCTATGCAGTGTTCTATAAATATCAATTAGGTCAAATTCATTAATCATGTTTAAATCTTTCACATCCTGTCTTGTTTTCTCTGCTTGATCTGTCATTTCCTGAGAGAGGATTTATCTTTTTTATTTTACTTCTTTCAGTTTTCACTGATAATAAATATTGAGTTATTATATCTAACTGGTGATTAATTCTTTTATCATAATGGCATGATCTCTAAGTAATGCTTTTTTTTGAGTTAAATTTTTAAAAATCTGATATTAATAGAATGATTCCAACTCTTTTTATTAGTATTTGTGTTAAATTTCTTATTCCATCCTTTTAGTTTCAGCTTTCTATAACCTTATGGTAAGTTTACTAAGCAGAATATAGTCAGTTTTTGTTTTTTAATCCAGTCTGATAATCTCTTGTCTTTTAATTGGAGTATAGTCAATTGGTATTTAATGTAATTACATTACTTATTACTATTTGTTTTCTATTTGTCTTGCCCATTCTGTATTATATTTATCTCAATTCTTGGATTAATGGAGTGTTTTAAATTATTCTTTCCCCCATCTATTAATTTCTTAGTTTTACCTTCTTTTATTGGTTCCACTAGAGATTTCCACATGTATCCTTGGTAAATTTGTGTTTTGCCAATTCCCATTTCTACCTTTTTTTGTCATTATTGTCATGTCTTTTAGTTCTAAATATATTTGAAACCCCAAAAGATATGATGAGACTATCCTTAGTCATTTAGATTGACCCATATATTTACATTTTCTGTTGCTCTTCACGTTCACATACTTCTTTACATTCACATTGATATCATTTTCCTTTTGACTAAAAAGTTTCCTTTAATATTTCATCAGGTCTGCTGATGATAAATTATTTGCTTTTATTTGTCTGAAAATATATGTATTTTGAGGTCTTAACTTTTTTGTTGTTGTTGAGGAAGATTCGCCCCTGAGCTAACACCTGTTGCCAGTCTTCCTCTTTTTTTGCTTGAGGAAGATCAGCCCTGAGCTAACATCCATGCCAATCTTCCTTTATTTTGTATGTGGGATGCCGCCACAGCGTGGCTGATAGGTGGAGTAGGTCCGTGCCCGGGATCAGAACCCGGGCCGCCAAAGTGGAGCACTTGGAACTTTAACCACTCAGCCGTGGAGCTGGCCCCCAAGTCTTAACGTTTTTTAAAAATTGAGTTATATACATGCATAGCTCAATGGATTTTTACATTTGCATGAACTTGTGTAACCATCATACAGATCCAGATAGGCTCCCACAGCCCCCCATGTGTGAATAACCACCTCGTCATTAACCATCTATTTTTTTCTTCTCTTTTTGCTGAGGAAGACTGGCTCTGAGCTAATATCTATTGCCAATCCTCCTCCTTTTTTTTCCCCAAAGCCCCAGTAGATAGTTGTATGTCATAGTTGCACATCCTTCTAGTTGCTGTGTGTGGCACGCGGCCTCAGCATGGCCGGAGAAGCGGTGCGTTGGTGCGCGCCTGGGATCCGAACCCGGGCCGCCAGTAGCGGAGCGTGCGCACTTAACCGCTAAGCCACGGGGCTGGCCCAACCATCTATTCTGACTTATATCACCACAGCTTTATTTTGCCTGTTTTTGAATTCTATATTAATGGGATTATATAGTATATACTCTTTTGTTTCTAGCTTCTTTTGCTCAACATTATGCTTGTGTGATTCATATTTATTTTTTATTTATAGTTCACAGTATTCCATTGTATGAGTATACTACAAGTTATTTTTCTGTACTAGTGCTGGTGGGCATGCCAGTTATTTATGGTTTTTGGCCATTGCTAATAATGTTGTTATGCACATTCTTGTACATGTCTTTTGGGAGATAGAAACACTCATTTGTGTTTGATATAAAGTTAGGAGTGGAATTGCCGGGTCACAAGGTAGGCATATTTAGCTTTAGTAGATAGTGCCTAATGACTTCCCAAGTGGTTACCAGTTTATACTCCCACCAACAGTAGATGAAGGTCCCAGTTGCTTCACAACCTCACCAACACTTGGTTCATTTTTTAAACTTGAGCTGTTTTTTAGAGGATGAATAGTGGTATTGAATTGTGATTTCATTTTACGTTTCCTGATGACTCATAAAAGTTGAGCATGTTTTCATATCACTTCACATAACTTGGTTATCCTTTTTCATGAAGTAAACATTTTGGGGCTGGGAGAGTGAGAATGGGTGGGTAGGTTGTCTGACTTATTGGTATATTCAGGATACAGTTCCTTTGTTGGAGATTGTGTGTGTGTGTGAAATAAAATCTCTCTTCCTTTCTGTGGCTTGGCTTTTCCCTCTCTGTATGGATCTTTTATTGAAGAGAAGTTCTTAGTTTTACTGAAGTCTAATTAATTAAACTTTTCTTTATGATTAGTCCTTTTTGTGTTCCTTTAAAGAAAGTTTTTCTAACCCCAAGGTCATGAAGATATTTCCTATGTTGTCTTCTATAATCTTTTAAAAGAAAATCTTTTACATTTAGGTCTGTGATCCATCTGGTGTTAATTGTTTTGTGTTTTCCGAGGTATAGGTCGAGTTCATTTTATTCTTTGTGGGTTTCTTAGCATCACTTATTATAAAGACTGCCTTTACAACACTTGATTGCAAAGGAACTTTTGTTATAAATCAGGTGACCCTATATGTGTTATTTTTATTAATTTTTTAATAGTTTTCAGTGTAGAAGTCTTGTTCATGTTCCATTAAATTTATTTTTGGGTCTTTGATGTTTATTGATGAGCATATAAATGATATTTTTAGAATTCCATTTTCTAACTTTGTTGCTAGAATAGAAATACAATTGATTTTTGTATATTGATCTTGTATTTAAGGACCTTGTATATTAACTTATTACTTCTAGTTTATAATTTTTTTATTGAGGTAACATTGGTTTATGACATCATATTAATTCTTTTGAATTTTTCATGTACCTAATCATACCATTTCCAAATACTGAGAGCTTTTTTTTTCTTGCTTTCCAATATTTATGCCCTTTCTTTCTTTTTCCTTTATTATTGCCATAGAGAGGATCTTCCATAAATTGTTGAATTCAAATAGTGAAATGGAATTTTTGTCTGGTTTGTGATTTCGGGGGAATGTGTTCAGTATTTTACTGTTGTATGAAGTTTGCTACAGCCTTTTTGGTTATTTTTGGTGAGCAAGATTGGCCCTGAGCTAACATCTCTTGCTACTCCTCCTCTTTTTTGCTTGAGGAAGATCTGTGCCAGTCTTCCTCTATTTTGTATGTGGGACACCACCACAGCATGGCTTGATGAGTGATGTGTAGGTCCACTCCCAGGATCTGAACCCGTGAACCCTGGGCTGCCGAAGTGGAGCACATGAACTTAACCACTATGCCACCAGGATGGCCCCACTGTTTTGTTTTTTTAATTGTTACTCTTTTTTTAAGTTCAGGGAGTTTTTCTTCTAGTTCTAGTCTTTTGAGAGTTTTTATCATGCGTAGGAGTTAACTTTATCAAAAGCTTTTTCTATATCTATTTTGATATGATTTAACTTCTATATTTGGTTAATATGGGAATTACATTGATAAATTTTTAAATATACCAATATTGCATTACTACATAAATCCAATTGTTTCTAATGTATCTTTTTATTTTTATTTATTTTATTTTTTTAATTTTTTAATTTTTTTTTTTTTGTTAGGAAGATCAGCCCTGAGCTAACATCCGTGCTAATCCTCCTCTTTTTGCTGAGGAAGACCGGCTCTGAGCTAACATCTATTGCCAATCCTCCTCCTTTTTTTTCCCCAAAGCCCCAGTAGATAGTTGTATGTCATAGTTGCACATCTTTCTAGTTGCTGTATGTGGGACGTGGCCTCAGCATGGTGGCAGAAGCGGTGCGTCGGTGCGCGCCCGGAATCCGAACCCGGGCCGCCAGTAGTGGAGCGCGTGCACTTAACTGCTAAGCCATGGGGCCGGCCCTAATGTATCTTTTTAATATATAGTTGTTTGATTTGCTAATATTTTGTTTAGCATTTCTTTGTTTATGTGCTTGAGAAAGATTGGCCTTTAATTTACCTATCTTATAATTTTCTTATATTTTGAAGTGATATGCTTAGCTCATAAGACAATTTGGGAAGTGTTCCTACTTTCTCAACTTTCTGAAAG